TCAGAAACTTGATTTTCTGGTCGCCCAGCTAGTCAAAGTGTTGGAGCCAGGAGTCCCCTCTGGCCTCACCAGTTCCAAAATCGTCCATACATCAGTCGGTGCTGGCCTCTGAGAGATCCAGCTTCCACAGATTCCATCCCTGCCACCGCCTGTGGGTGCAGCCCAGGACAAGTGTCCCTCTGAGTCACGGCCAGCGGGAGGGAAAACCTTAGATTCACACACGGTGCTTTTTAGGGAATCACCCTCCATAAGCCTTGGGAAAGGAGGAGCTCTGTGATGTGTGCAAAGCGTGTGCACAGACCTTGTGACCCCTCCCCTTCACAGCAGCCCTCTGAGGTAGGAATGAATGATTCCCATTTCGCAGACGAGGCTAACTGAGGCCCGAAGAGGATACAAACTCACGATGTTCTAGGCACTGTGCGTGGTGTTTTCTGCACATCACCTTCACAAGACTCCTCCCCCCCCCACACACACACACCCAAGTTATTTTCCTCATTTCTTGGAGAAGAAAATAGCTCAGAGGAGGAGAGATCTGCCCAAAGCTCAACATCTGGAAAAGGGTGGGGCCAGGAAACCCTTTTCTTTCCCATTGGACATGATTCCCGGGAGGGCAGAACATGCAGTTTGGTGATTATGAGCACCTTGGGGGGAGGCTGTCTCTCCACTCAGGGCAGAGCCCTCCCTGCTTGCCCGCCAGTGCCCGCAGTCGCCTGTTGAGTGGGATACACAAATCTGTTTGGTGCTGTCCCCAGCTGGTGTGACCAGCCTGTGAAGAAGAACCGGGGAGGGGGAGTGGGGTGGGCATAACCCCCTCCACAGCACAAGTCTTGGGTTCCGGTGCAACCAAGGCTCTGCGGAAAGCTTCTCGTTTCTTGTTACCATGGCAACACGAATGTCTCCATGCCTCTCTCGTGTGAACAGAGCTGTTCCCCATGCCACCCTGTCTCCCAAGGCCCCTCAAAGGCCCTTCTGCCTCTAAGATTCTGGTTTCGATTAATTGCCACCAATGCCTGCACTGGGTTTGTCATTTTCACTTATTTCATCTGCTGAGTCACTGAGCCCTGCTCTGAATTAGAGTGGTTATTCACCAGAACATTCTGCTCGCTCGTTGCCATGGACACCTCCCAGCCTGCTTCATCACCTGTTAATTTCTCAGCAAGGCTGGCTGTGAGCGTGGGTACCACTGCCCCTTATCCAGGACCCAACGGGCATCAAAACTCCCCCGGAAAAGGAGGGGCCATGATGACGCATGAACAACAGCTAAATCTCTAATGCCAACTCTGGAAAAATCAAAAACAGCCTAGAGCTACTTACATCTGTCCAAACCAGGTCAAGGTGGCAATTCATCAAATAAGTCAACAAGCACACTGTTTGGTTTTCTGGCATATCTTGAGCAAACTCTTTAGTCTCTTTGCTAACCACTTTAGGATGTATTTTTAGGGACACCTGGGTGGCTCAGTTGGTTAGGCATCCGATTCCGGCTCAGGTCATGATCTCGAGGTTTGTGGGTTCGAGCCCCATGTCGGGCTCTGTGCTGACAGCTCAGAGCCTGGTGCCTGCTTCAGATTCTGCGTCTCTCTCTCTCTCTCTCCCCCTCCCCCTCCACTGCTCATGCACTCTCTCTATGTCTCTCTCAAAACTAAACA